CGACATCAACAACTTAGATCCGTATACTCCCATGAGTTCTTGCCAGTTCTGGCTAGTAAAGCGACTATCTCTATCGCTAACTATAGACAGCGTGATTCCATTCTCACTAACCCAGCAGTCAAAGAACCTCTGTATGACTAAATCAGTACGCGCCTCAGAAGGCAAAGGAACAAAAACTGCGTACTTGCTAAAGCGGTCAACTATGACCATGACTTGGCTCTTGCCATGCCTGCTCTTGACTTAAGTGTCCATGAAATCTGTCTCTGCATATGCCTGCTCTTGCCTTGCCTGCTCTTGCCATGCCTGCTCTTGACTTGCCTGCTCTTGACTTGCCTGCTATGATTCCCTGGGCCTGGCTCCTCGAAAAAGTCTAGATCTATGGGTTCTGAACTTAGACTTGACAAAGTCTGAGCCCCGGTCCTCGGTCGTCAGGCTACGGCCATTGGTCAAATGGAACGCACTTCTCGCTATTACCGAGCTTATTATACAGACTGTTTCTTTATGGCAGATTCAAGGCTGTCATTCTTCGGAGACAAACTGCAATTGGATGTACATTGTACAAAAATAGGGTTTAAGCCCTTTAGGGTTGCCACGGAATCAAAGGCTGCAGTCGTTGGGAGACAAATTGCGACTCCTAGGGTTTAGGGTTATGGGTTAGGGTTTCCAGTTTCCGGTCTAGGGTTTAGGGCATAGGGTTATTGGTCGGGGTTATGAAAGGAGGACTCACGCTGAGGAGGTGGGAGTACGGCCGCAAGTAGGAGGTCGGCAGTGCGCTATATCCACGTGCTGTTTGTCTTCGGTGTGCATCCATGACCTTTGACCATTTCTGTCTTTTTGTGCATGTGTAACCATTTCAAGTCTTTTTCAATTTTTTTTCCGCATGTGTGACCTTTGACCATTTCTGTCTTTTTTCAAGTTTTTTGTGCATGTGTGACCTTTGACAATTTCTGTCTTTTTTCAAGTTTTTGTGCATGTGTGCCCATTGAGAATGCCTGGGCCCAATGGTTTATCAAGCATTCATGTAGTGGAATGAGTGACGCTTGGTTCGGATCACAACCTGGAAGATTCACGGCAACTTCCTTGAGGAATCAGGAGTGTGGTGGTTGAAGGTTAAGTCACTAATAATCGCCCCTTATAACCGTCAATTCTACACGACAGCCATGAACAGCAGTGTACCAACGTGGCATACAATCGCAATTTACAAATCACACACTTCAAGATCAGGACCATATCTTCGGACCCAATTGTGTTCCTCTTTTGTCGGCCCTTTTTATAAGGGGTAGCTCCAAACCATATTATTGCAACCAATAGCATCGGGAGCTCCTCCCTTGTTTATCAACAACTACACGAGTGTACCGCTCAGGTAAAAGGCAGGTACCATGGCGGGAGCCTTTCGTTTTTGTTTTCAAAGTTGTGTGTAGAAGCAAATTCTCCAAATTTATGACCAACCATATTTTCCGTAATCTGTAAACCAAGAAAATATTTTCCGTTATAAACTTGTGCAATAGTAACCGACAAATTTAGGCAAAATACAAGATCTACGTGACCAAATTATCCAACTCTGGCGAGCCACAAGCGAATGCTTTTTGTGTGATCTCCAGGACATTACCCACAATTTCATGCCTTGTCTCTTCATTGTAGTACTGCGGACGTCAATTCCCATACACCGCCTCTAGCTTCACTCTGCTAGCTAGCAAAGGACAGTGCCCAATGGAAAGCTGAGGAGACCTCAGATGGAAGGTAGTGTTTGACTAATCTCCTCAGAAGCGCATCATTTGACCCAACTGCAAAGCATCGAGCTGTGCACCGGAGGAGACGAAGAGAAGAGATGCACCAGGAAAAAACAGGCATAAAGTTTTCTGCTAACAACTGCGGACAAAGGATGAATGTCACAATCTTCAGATACGTCATAAAAAATGATAGCCTTTTGTTTGATTCCTGAGAGGAAGATGATGAAGGAGTAATAACAAATTTCTAGATTTTTTATTATTAATTTATTATTATTATTATTATTATTTAAATCCAAAGGGAAGTAAGCGTTTAATGGCAAGACTCAAGAAAGGAAATAACTGGCAAACAAAGGAACAGAGGGGAGGAGGTAGAAGCATGAAAACGCACAAGGAAGGGAACGGCGTGTGTCAGACAGATGCAGGACCCTCGAGACAACAACAACAACAACATCCTCCCAGACTTCCACTTGCTAGAATTACTCACCGCCAAGTCGGCTGTCGTTGCTTTCAAGTGTGTTCGCATGTGGTGAGCTGTCCTCTGCACCCTTACTGCCATCACAATGCACTTGTTCAGCATGGCGGTCAGGTGCGGGCGCTTCTCTTCTCCGCCTTGACCATTGTTTTCCAGTTCCCAGACRAGACCAAGCGCACCCTCGACAAGCTTGATTCCTAACCATGCAGCGTTCTGCAGCACAGCAGCCCAGCAATTGACGGTGGCGATCCGCTCGCCCCTCGAACGAAATTCGAGCATGCTGTGAAGCTCTGGCGACAAGAATGTGCTCTCCATCATCGCAATCTTGACGCCCGCTTGGCCGATCCAGATCAGACGGTCCAAAATTCCCTGCGGCGCACGCGCCGATCTCGCCAACCATCCTAGGCTGTCGGAAAGAGCCACCAACATTGTCTCAGAGACTCCAGGAGAGCCCGCCGACCCCCCTATCCGTCCGGGGTCATCAAGCGTATCTCGGAGAAGCACATGGTTGGTGCCCAAGGACGACACACTCGACTCTTCGACCACCTGCCAAATTT